GCTCTTTTTACTTGTCTTTTCTCTCCCTCGTGCTAAGTGCATGACACTTCTTCTAGCAAACCAAAGTGCCTTATGCATAACGTGGTCTGAGCAGGCAATACCGTCCTACACTGATTTTATTTAAAGGGAGCCAGAGGCCTCGGCATTGTGTTCCCTTGACTCTGCAGAGCTGATCTCGATTTCCCCTGTGCTTCCCTCCCCTTCCCTCTCCACACTCGCTGCAGAAATAACAGTGCAGTTTTCAATAGTTTTGTAACTGGATTTCTCTTGTCACAACAACGCTCACGGGGCCGCGTGCATCCAGCCGGACTCCCTTTCGTTGAGTTCGGGTCAGGAGTAGCTGTGGCGACTTCTTATTTCGAGACCGCTGGTGCCAGAACGAATGTGCGGGTTTGGGCCTGTGAGCGAGGAATGATTTGTGACTTTGTAAGTTAGCACCGACAATCCAAGCTCCTGTCATCAGCATTCGCTGCTGGGTTATTCCAAGTAAGTGCACATCAATTGCTGCTGCAACGATGACAGATAACTCGGACCCGGAAGGCTTTTGTGTTTAACCTCGCTGCCTGTGCCCTCAGTGGCTTGTGGCTCGTTTGAGGGTTTCTGCACTGTTTAACCCCCCTGTATGTTGTGCAGATCGCTTCTCACATGAGGATTAATGCCTTTTTTTTTTTTTTCCAGCTGGCTTCTGTCGTTTTGCCTTAAAGTATTAGTTTGTGGAAGGCGGGTTCTGGGAATACCTTTTGCACTGACTTTTTTCCATGGGTTGTAATGGGTGATACCAGTTTAATGTACAAATGTCTTTTAAATAGAGCCTTTCATGCAGCTGACGTGAGTGCGAGTGTCTGTCTGCAGCACTTTCCCAAGCTGGGGCTGCGAGTCCTCTGCCCTACACCGTCCCCACGTCTTTGAAAACTGCAGTGTATTCTGTTCAACGAAAATGGTGATTCAGGGAGCTGGGACGGGGCAGGGGTGCTGCCAGATCCTTTGAGGTGTGCCAGGAGATAGCGTAGATAAGTTGATTAAAAAAGCAGGCTCAGGTTTGTCCCTGCCGAATGATCCCCCCCCCGCCCAGTCCTTTGGCAAGGAGGTAAGCGCTGTCGTATATAAATGAGTTTTGGGAGCGGGGTGCCCCTCGTTTCTCAGACTCCCCCGGGAAGGGCTGGGGCCACGGATCCGGCCACGGTCCTAGCGCTTGGAGGAGCCTGGACAGCAGGTAGACGGGTGGTGGGAGGAGAGACGATAGCTCCACTTCTCAGCCCCTTGAGCGCTTGTCCCACTGATGCTAATGTTGTTTTCTGCCCAAATACTTCATTCTCCTTCCCTGCTCCAGGCCCACAGCTAAAGGTGGTGGATTTCCCTCCAAGAGCCCTTCTCCGGCCTCCCGCGGCACGGGGTGCAAGTGCACGGCGCTGCACACAGCAAAGCAGCAGCAGTGGCTCTTCCTTTTGTGTGCCCATCTCAGCTGTTTTCTGGGCAGTAGCAATCCCTGGGCCCATCAGGACGAGGCAGAGGTGATGCAGGGAGCGAGGCTCCTCTGAACAAGCAGCGGGGAGAGCAGGGACTAAAATAACCCTCCTAGAAACACCCTGGCTGTAAGGGGAGTGGAGACCCCGGGCCCCACCAGCCCTGATGGGCTTCACTCCATGCAAGCAATGGAAAGAGGCGGCCTGGTTGTGAAAGGAGACAAATGGAGCAGCCAGCCCTGCAAAATTTCACCCTCAGCCCAGCTGCGGCAGGTGCAAAAGGATCAGCAACGGAGGGGAGGTGCCAGTATGGGTCTGAGAGTGCTCCAGAGCTTGGCAAAGGGGCAGACAGACTGTGACTAGGTGTGGAGGAGCTGCAGAGGACCCCAGGTGTGGGGGTCTGTGCATTGGGGTGCCCAGGCTGAGCTCCAGGAGGACTCCCAGCCCCCGAGCCCATAGGGATGGGGAGGGAACGTGGCATATTTGGAAGGAGCTGCGGCCTCCTTGGGAAGCTGCAAGACCCCAGCCCGTCCCCGGGAGGCTGCACCCTGCTCCGGAGGTACGGTCACGGAGGGGGGGCTGCGTGTTCTCCGCCCCGCATGGCAGAGGGCACAGACGCTCAGTGTGATGCACGTGGGCACAGACTCGAAGCGCACCCCCTTTCCCCTCCCTTCCCTTGACTCCCCTCGCCCCACACCCTGATGGAGAGGCAAAGGACAAGCCGCGGCAGGAAAAGAGGTCTTGTTTTCCAGTGTCTAAGTGCATCGCTGACAGCAAAGATTGAAATGGAAGGTGTTACCCCCGGTGGGGCAGGAGTTCTCCTCCCGGGCTCTTCCCAGAGATGCTGCCCTAGCAGAAGCAGACACGGGGAGGGAGACGAGCACTGGCTGATTTTCCTCCTGCATCGGCTCCCGGCAGCTCACCCCTATCCCC